AACAGGGAGAAGAACCAAGTTCAGCAGATTCTGAATTGGACATTCCTCTAAACTGGATAATGAGGAAGTTCTCAAAAATTGAGCTAAATTATTGAGTTACCTTTCAGAGGAAAATCAAAATGACCTGAAATCATTATTACAATCACATGGTGAGATATATGGGAATTACTAATTTAATTACACTTGACGTAGGTATAGGAAATGCTGTTCCAACTAAACAATATCCTTATAGACTTAACCCTCAGAAGCTGGCACAGGTTCAAATAGAGATTGAACACATGCTCAAAGACAATCTAATCAAAATGAGTTGCAGTGACTGGAGTTCATTCATAGTAATAGTGCCAAAACTAAATGGTACCCAAAGGCTATGCGTGGACTATCGCAAAGTCACTGCATTTACTAAATCTGATTCATATCCTATTCCATGTTTGGAAGACTGCATTGATAACGTAAGACAAGCAATTTATATTTCTAAGTTGGACTTGCTCAGCAGATACTCTATCTGAAACAGCAAAGGAAATTTTGGCTTTTGTGACATGGAATAGGCTACATGAGTTTAAAGTCATGTCACTGGGTTTAAAAATGCGCAACCCACATTTCAAAGATTAACCAATAAAATTGGGATTACCCAATTGTGTGGTGTACATCGACAACTTGGCAATTTTTGGCCACGCATGGAAGGAACATTCAGAACATCGGTTGGAATTGTTCAATTGACTTCAGGCTTGGGGATAAACGTGGCTAACAGTGAGTTCTCAAAAGACCAAGTCACATTCCTGGGTCAAGTCATTGGACATGGAAAAATGGCTCAATGGGACGTGAAAACAAAGATTATTGAGGAATTTCCCATCCCATTGACAAAGAGGAAAGTACTATGATTCCAAAGACCAAGTAGTTTATAATCAGAATTTCTTACCCAAGTGAGAACTATTGCTCCACTGACTGATTTATTGAAAAAGCGCAGAAAATTTCAGCGTGCGGAGGAATGTCAGAAGGCATTTGACAACCTGAAAGCTGTGTTTACCATTGCCTCAATGTCAGGCGCATCTAATTATGCAAAACCATTCAAGGTAACTATCGATGCAAGTGATGTGGGTGATGCTGCTGCAGTCTTACAAGACAACAACTTTTGGTTATTTTTCTAGAAATTGAATAATCATCAATAGAAGTATTCCATAATTGAGGGGACCTTGAGCTTGGTGTTGGCATTGCACCATTTTCAACATCTATATTGCCAGTAATGTGTCTCTGACAATTGTTATGCTGATCATGACCTCTTAAAGATTCTGGAAAAAATTAAGGATAAAATTTTCAAACTATTTAGATGGAGCTTATAATTGCAGCCATTCAATTGAAAATTATGCATGTGGCAGAACAAGAGAAAGTAATTCTGAATGCATTGTTGTGATTTTCATGAAGGAAGACAGAGGCAAGAAAGAAAACGAACTGAAATGGACTGTAGTAGTGAATGTTTGCATGCTTAATCTAATGTATATGTATTGTAGTGTACTAATAGCCCATGGGCAAATGTTTTTTAAAAATAAAGCCATCTTTATATATTGATGGATGTTTTTTAAGTGGGGGTTGGGGCTGGGAGTGGGGGTGTGTGGGGGAGGGAAGTGTGATGATGCTATGGCTTTAAGAGATGTACTTTGTCCTGGTTAGTTTATTAAATCAAGAAAGGTTAAGATTGAGGTGGCAAACAGTCTGCTTCATCCAATAAAGTAAAAGTTTGAGAGGCCTAGGGTGGTTTTTCCCCAAATTAGAGCAATAGAATCAGCCTGAATGGGTGGGGTCAAGCTCCCACAGAACAAGGATTTTTAGTTTTAACCTTCAGTAGCAGTTGCTGTTGGGGTCTTGAAGAAGTGAAAGCTGCTTTTTCCCTCTCTTGGTTAGAAGTGAAAGCTGGAGTTCTCTCTCTCAGAATTGTCTTTTGGTGTTTTTCTTCCTGAATTGGAGAATTGCATGTGAGACAGTCTGTTTTCTGAATTTGTCTATTACCAAATACGTGTTTAGGGGATGTCCTGATATTCAAAACAGTTAATTGGAAATAGTTACTGTATCTATTATTGTTAAGTTTTCCAATAGGGTTAAGTTATTCCAATTCCTTCTTTCTTTTGTTGTATTTTAACTATAGACGATGAATAAAGTGTGTTTTGCTTTGAATCCAGAAGTTTGTCCAATTAAATTGCGCCTGGAAAGCAACACCTTATATTTACCTTTAAAATAAGAAAACATGAGGGTCTAGGCTATCTTCTGAACAGTTTGAAAGGGTTTGGTATGGTCTATAACATTATGAGTGACCTCGATTATGGTCTCAGCTCCACTTTTCTAACAGCCCCTATAACCCTCGACACCCTCAAAAATCAAATTAACTTCCCTTGTATTCAGGTGGGAGGAGGAAGAGGTCCCTTGACAACCTATCATGCCTGCTTTCCACTGATCAGCCACACAGCTGTGATAATTTCAAATTTAAATTTCTATTCTGAAGGACACCGCCCCCCCCCAGCAACCAAGAATCAGCACCACCCATCTTGGCCTGTAAAGCTCCTGATGTAGATCAATTCTGAAAGGTCTTGCAAGAGTTCTCAACTCTCAAAACTCATACAACATAGAACTGTACAGCATAGGAACAGGCCCTTTGGCACAAGATGTTGTGCCAAACATGATGGCAAATTAAATTAATTCCTTCTGCCTGCCTTTGGTCTATATTCTTACATTCCTTGCATATTCATTCGCATATCTAAAAGTCCCTTAAACGCCCCTATCGTATCTGCCTCCACCTCCACCCTTGTCAGCACATTCCAAACACCTACCACTCTGTGTAAAATTACTTGCCCCTCACATTTCCTTTGAACTTTACCCCTCACCTTAAATGCATGCCTCTTTGACATTTCAACTCTAGGAAAAAGATTCATACTGTCAACCCTACCTATGCATCTCATAATTTTATCAAGTCACCCCACAACTTCTGCCGCTCCAGAGAAAACAACCTGAGTTTTTCTAGCCTCTCCTCATAGCTCACAATCCGCGCAGCATCCTGGTAAACCTCTTCTGTGCCCTTTCCAAAGCCTCCATATCCATCCTGTAATGTGGCAACCAGAATTGAATGCATTACTCTAACTCTAACCCTAACCCAAACTCCAAGTGTGGCCTAACCAGCCGCATGTCTTTCACTGGTGATCCCACTTCCTGGCATTTTATTAATCTAGCCACTTAAACAACCCTGTGAACATGACTGAAACACATTGCACAGAGTCAGGACCCAGAATTGGTCTGGATTCCAAACTGCAAATCCAGTCACTAGTCTTTTAAAGGAGAAGAAAGAAGACTGGGGCAAGTTGAGATGCTTAATAGATCCATTGCTCACACAACAATTCAGATAATGTTAGTGGTGGAATGTGTATCAAGCCAGAGAGCACCCATGAACCAAGATTCAGTCAAAGCCTGAATTTCAATTCAATAAGCAAAGATCTTATTCATGACTGACCACACATTCTGGAGAGAGAAAAAAATTGAAGAGTTTAATTTAAGTGTATGCCTTAAACTCACAGCTGTGAATTTTCCAGGCCAGATGCTTTCAATTTCCATAGCCTCCCTCATAATCTACTTCAGAACTGGCAAATTCAAGCAGACAATACAAAGCATGATATTGTATGATATTGTACTTAAATTAACATGTTAAAAGTGAGCAAAAATAATAGTCTACTTCTAAAATGCATAACAAAGCAAAAATTCCACTTTCTATTTTTAAAAATCAAGTTTTCATCATGCTGTAGTAATATTGTGCACAGTACGAAGACCTGTAGATTAACTGTCAAAGGTGACTTCAAAATTGAACAAATGATTCCTGATTTACCCTATTGTTGTCAACCATATAAATATACATATACAGTCCCTTTCATTTAATAAAATGTTCCAAGGCACTTCATAGAAGCATCATAAAGCAAAACTAAACGTATGTGGCTTAGTGTTAAAACAGATGGTCACAAGGTTGATCGAAGAGATAGGTTTATTGTGCACAATTCTGGGAGCCACATTATAGGAAGGATGTGAGTGCATTGGAGAGGGTGGTTTACAACAATGTTTCTACAGTTGAGGAACTTTAGTTATGGAGATACACTAAAAAAAGCTAGGACTGTTCTCCTTGGAGAAAAGGCTGAGAAAAGATCTGATAGAGGTTTTCAAAATCATGAGTAGGGTGGATTGTGTAGATAGGAAGAAACTGTTCCCGCTCATAAAAGGAACGTGAACAAGAAGGCATAGATTTAAAGCGATCGGAAAAATAAGTAAGGGTAAAAGAAGAAAAAACAGTTCCACTCTGAGTAGTTAGGGTATGGAATGCACATTCTGAAAGTGTGGAGGAGGCAGGGTCAATTGAGGCGTTCAAGAGGGCATTGGATGATTATTTCAATAAAAATAGCGTACAAGAGTATGGGAAAAAGCAGGAGATGGCACTAGATAATGACGTTCATTTACCAAGCCAGTACAGGCAGGAGGGGTCAAATGACCTTCTGCATTATAACACTTTAATAATTCTCTTTTAAAGGAACATCTTGAAAGAAGGAAGAGAGGTAGAGCATTAGAGAGGGTATGGAGGAAATTCCAGAGCTTGAGGAGGCTGAAAGCACATCGCAATCAAAACGTATCTGACACAACTTCAAAATCAATGCAATAGTAGTGACAGTTTACTAAGTGAAGCTCCAAATTACTTTAGAGAACCTGAATATGTTTCGAAATAATGAAGTTAAAATTTTGCTTGGCTTGGGAGGAAAGAAAATTAATGAACAATTTCAATACATGCTTATAACTATAAAGGTTTGCCTGACACACAACAATTACTACATTTCAAAAATAGTTCATTATACATAGGCAAGTGTTCTTATCTAGTTTGCAACACAGCGTACTTCTATCTCACAGATATGATTCAACAAAAAATTCAACATTTCTAAGCTTTACATCCCAATCACTGTGCCAATTATCAAGAGTAAAATCCTTACCTTTTTATAAATCATATGGCACATTGCTACTCTTAGTTTCATCCCACTCCTTTGTACATGAAAGAAATACAAATGATGCAGAATTGCTAGAAATAGATTACAAAGTGATATACCAGCAGCATAGCCAAAGGCAACTTTGTAAGCCTCCATATCATCTGGATTGTAGTTTTCAAAATAATTAATAACTTTTCCTAATATGATAGGCTGAACAATTCTGATCGTTTCCTAAAAGAAAAAAGACATTAACATTTCATTGAGTTTTCAAATTTTGAAACAGGTGCAAAAAATCAAACACAATACTTGCAAAAAGTCTTTTACTTCTAAAACAAAATCAAATATAATTACTTCTGACTATATAAATGCTATTAATGTCACTGATTTCTTTTACTAGTTAACATTTTTATTCTCCTGCTTCAGTTTCACCAATTGTACATTTCAAGGGACATATACAAAACATTTTTCTTGCACTTCCCCATCCACATTTGTATCTGGAAGAGACCATTTTCAGAGAACATTCATTTTTCTCTATGGAATAATGTTTTGCTTTATTCAATCCCTCTTCCATCACATCTGAAAATTAATACATGAAGCTAGGGATTTACTCAAACCCAGCTCTCTGTCTATACCTGACACGTGCCTCCTTCAATTTCTCTAATATGGTACCAAACTTGGAAGAATAGCAAACCAGGAGGATAGTGCGGAACACTAGAAGACAGACAAACCGATGTGGGCAGATAGGTAGAAGAGGTTCAATGCAATGATGTGGAAAGTGATGTATTTTGGCAGAAAGAACATTAAAAGACAATACAAAATAGGGATTATTATTCAAAAAGAACGCAGGAACAGAGGGACCTGGGTGTTTTTGTCTTCAGGTCAACGAAGGTGGCAGGATATGTGCAGAGCAGTTAATTAAGGAAAGTATTCTCAGCTTTATTAACAGATGTATATCGTTCAAGATCGAAAAGGTGACGTTCAACTTGCACAAGACACTTGTCAGACTTTAGCTGGAATATTCTGTACAGTTCTGCGTGCCACATTATCGGATGGATGTGAAGGCATTGGAGAGTGCGCAGATGCAATTCACAAGAATCGTTCCAGAAAGAAGGGATTTCAGTTATTGAAGTAGTTGGGACAGTTCTCCTTAGATAGAAGGCAGGCATAAGGCGATCCGATAGACATTTTGAAAAACATGAACAAGTGAGACAGTGTGGATGGGAGAAACTGCTCCCAATCATAAAAGGATCTAGACCTTGACGGATAGATTTAAAATGATTTGCAAAAGCAACAAATAAGACGCAAGGAATAAACTTTTATGGTACAAAATGCATTTCCCAGAAACATGGAAGAGAGAAATGTGTTTGAACTATTCAAGAGGGCATTGGATGACTATTTGGATAGAAATAATATGTGAAGATATGGGGAAAAAGAAAATAGGAGAAGATTGAAATTAGGCCTGGTTAAAGCCTGCTTTTAAGTAATTTTCTTTCAAGATCTCATGGCTGGAACTTCTTCTCAATCTCAGCCTTTACATTCTCGTGTCATTTTTAGGCTTTTTTTTAAGTCTCTGCTACTTCCCACTTCATATTGGCTTCTCCTTCACTCTCAACATTTGTGTCCTATACTATAGGTCTGTTCCGTCTTCTTGGTTTGTCAACTCAGGAAAAAGCAGGAATGGGTGGAATATTTTAAATTAAATAGAGGGAAAAGGAAATAATAGCTCAATTGGAGAAGATTATTTAGTTAATTATGCTTGCATAAACATAAGCACTATCACAGAACTGTTGGGCCAAATAGCACTTTTCTGTGTTGTACACTCCAATACTTCGCAGGAGAATTGAAATAAGCAAGAAAGTAAAACTGCAAGAGATACAGATTTTGGATATTATCAGATTGTATTTTCCAACAAATGCTTTTCTTGAAAACATCACACTGGAGCAACTTAGCAAATGTTGGCACACCAAGGGCAATCAAAGAAGCACAGAAAGAGGTTATGAAACAGCACAACTCTCAGGGTCCAAAGCGGTCAGCATTTCTTCTTTAGGGCAATCACATTGTGCTATTGACCTGACAAATTAGCAGTCAAACTGAATTTCCATCAGGGCAGGAAAATAATTTTGCAATTCTAGAACAAATAAACTTATTTAATAAAAAAAAATTACCTCTAAAAATGTGAATGCACCTAAAATGATATATGATTTCCAGAAACATTTCAAAATGGCTTTTGTAAGATGGGGAACTCGAGCTTGTTTTTGTGCTTTCCGGACTTCTTCATCCCAATGCCTAAGAGAGACGGAGGGAGGAAGGGCATGGAAGGAAGGATGGGTTGGTGGGGGAGGGCACAGTGGAGTGGTTGAAGGGCAGGAGGCAAGGGACAGCACACAAGGGAGACAGAAAAGAATAATAATACCTGTAAATCTCAAACAACAAACATTTTATTGGCAGCTGTAATTTTAAAGCATGAAGACAACCAAAATCATAAGCTGTTGTCACAAATTACTGAAGGTGTCCGATGATGTCTGATGGGAAATTGGACAAGTGAAAATGTGACAAGCACACCTGGGTCAGAGATGCCAATTCAAGGGTTTCATGAAACATACAGTACACTGCAATCACACATGGTACCCTTTCAAAAGGAGAATAAGACAGTTTCCCTTTATGTTTACCAAAGAACCATCCAAGCAATCCAGCTCATTATTCCATGACTTTCCAAGTGAAGAATTTCCATTTTAATACTTTTTTTTAATGGGCAAGGTCAAGACAGTAATGTCAGGTGTCATATGTTCACTAAAGGAACATTTCCACAGCTCAAATAAATCCTATTATGCAAAGACAAAAAAAATCGGACACATGTACATGCAAACAAGAAACAACAGTAGGTTACCTGGCCTTCTGAGCCTGCTCTGTCATTCAATAAGATCATAATCAATCTGATTTTAACGTTTACTCTATATTCCTGCATATTTCAGATAATCTTTCAACCCCTTGGTAATTATGAATCTGTCCACCTCTGCCTTAACAATATTTCAAGATTATGCATTCACTGCTTTTTGTGAAATTCCAAAGACTCCAGACCCTCAAAGAAAAAAAAATGTTCTTCATCTTAGTCTTAAATATGCGTCCTGTTAGTTCTAGATTCTTCCATAAGAGGAAGCAATCCTTTCAACATCCTCCTGGTAAGTATCCTCAGGATCTGAGATGGCTTCAATTAAGTCACCTCTGATTCTTCTGAACACAAGAGGATACAAGACTAGCCAATCTAGCCTTTCCTCATAAGGAAATCCGCTCACTCATTCCAGGTTTTAGTCTAGTAAACCTTCTCTGACCTGCTTCCAATGCATTAACATCCTTTCCATAGGCATGATGACCAATACTGTACCAACATTCCAGATATGGTCTCACCAATGTCCTGAAGCATAGCCTTCATTACTCTGGCATTCAATTTCCCTCACAATGAAGCATGACATTCTATCAGCTTTCCTGATTACTTGCTGTACCTACATACTAACCTAGTTATTCATTCACTAGGTTCTCAGATCTCTCTGCATCTCAGAGCTGTGCAGCCTCTCACCATTTAGAATAATATGCTTTTTAATTCTTTCTACCAAAGTGAATAATTTTGCAATTTCCTACCTTTGCCAGATCCTTGCTCACTCACTTAGCTTTTCTACGACCATAACGTAGACTCCTAATGTCGTCTTCACAACTCACTTTCTGCCTATCTGTAAAGGGGGACCTGGCATCAATCTGAACAACTAAAAGACTGAACAAACTAGGACTTTCTTAAAAATGACAATGGTAACTTAAATTATGAAGGAATTAGACAGGATTATCAGAGATGTTTTTGCCTCTTGAAATGCTAAATTTAGGATAGTGACTTAAAAGTCAAGCAGGAATTCAGGAGAAACTGCACTCAAAGTATGTCACTGGACTGGTACCCCATAGGCCAAAGCTAATCCTCTGGAAAAATGGATTTGAATCCTACCATGACAGATCGTGAAATTTGAATCTCATTAATGCAATCTGGAATTAAAAATTAGTCGAATGGTGCCTGTGAAATCACTGTAGAAACTCATTATAACAATTCACCTGATTCATTAAAGTTCTTTAAAGGAGGCGGTGAGGACAGGAGTGGGAGCAGGCATACTCACAACCTGCTGATGCTACACCTTGGTTTTACTTAATTTTCTCTAATTCAGTTCTCCGTGACTTCACATCATGGCTTTCTTGGAGGAAATGGAGAGAGAAGCACCTCACATTACACAAAATCACTCATAGGCTACCAGGGAATATACTTAATGCACAGATACTATTCCAGCTCATCCAAGAGCATGTAGGATGATGCAGCTGCCTAAGGGAAACCACCTAAGAGTTGTGAAATGTTCTAAGACCACCCCACTCAACCATCACATTGTCAATTTGATTGTCAGCAATTACAGTTATGCTTGCTTCCAGCTACTTCCATTTAATCTCAAGGAATTCCAACCAAATTATTCAGGGCTCTTGTGGCACAGTGGTAGTGCCCCTCCTCTGATCCAAGAGATATGCGTTCAAGTCCCACCTGATTCAAAGGCGTGTACCAGGGAGAACATCTTGCACCCAGTCTGCCCATCCAGCCAGAAATTTAAATTTTTCGATGAGATCATCTCATATTCTTACAAACTCTAGGATTAAAAGCCCCTAGCCGACCCAATCGCTCCTTATACAACAATCCTGCCATTCAAGAAATCCATCTGGTGAACCTTTCACTGCAGTCCCTCAATGGCAAGTAGATCCTTTCATAGCAGTCCATGACAACGTGTTCAATTTAATTATATAAGTGGTTTGTTAATCGTCTTCGGTCAAGACGATATTTATGCGAAAGCATTAATAGTAGGAGCTTTTTATTGTATGCAGAATCATGAAATGTTTTTTAAGACGGATATGTTATTTGTAGAATTACAAACCATACTGTTGTTTGTATGTTACAATATCTAGATAAGTCGCATCCTTCACAATAGCATTTCAGTTAGTGCTGTGCAGTAATGTATTAGTCCATAACATGTGGTGTGATCTGTAAATAAAGTATATTTGAAGAAATCTGCACCTTTTCTGACAAAAGTTTGATCATTTTAAAGAGTTAGGAACACGTATGCCAAAGGGGATTTTTTTGTAATTAAAATAGTTTATCCGTTCAAATGATGTGTTTGTCTTCATGTTTCCAAAGTATTGCGCTCTTTAACTTAAAAATTTAAACAAGTGCTGATTACTGTATATGCATGCTGTGAAGAGAAAGCTGATTTGCATACATATAATTTATACAATGTAACATATAAATAATAAATATATATTTATAATATAATTATAAGTAACTCAGAATGCATTTCATCCCGACCAAATGACTTTTCAAGCATTTTAAAAATCTGATCCAATACCATTACTCCTCTGCTTTTATTGTTCCAATAGCAGCATCTGCTTCTTTGGTGAAGACTGTAAAGACTGTCGCTTTATTTTTGTATTTTTTTTACAATTGAAAGCTGAAATGAGAAAGAACTGTTTTAAAACCAATATTATAAAGAATTGTTGCATGTCACTAATGGCGAGTATTGTGTAAACAGCTAAATAAAAACCAGAAGAACTGTGGATACTGTAAATCAGGGACAAAAACAGAAGTTGCTGGAAATTCTCAGCAGGTCTGGCAGCATCTGTGAAGAAAAAGTCAGTTAACGTTTCGGGTCTGGTGACCCTTCCTCAGAACTGATGGTAGCAGGAAAATGTTGGTTCATATGCAGAAAATAGGGAGGTGGATTAGGTAGGGTATAAACAATAGGATAAAAGGATAGAGCCCAAATAGATAGAAGAGCAGTTGGATAGACAAAGGAGGTGATAACAACCTGGCTAGGAGGGTGAATAGCTGTTAATGGGGACTGTTAATGACTAACGATAGGTAATGTGTAATGGTATGCTATGTGATAACAAGGCCTGGTGCATGGGGTAGGGGGCTAGGACATGGGAGAGTTTAGGCCCTAAAATTATTGAACTCTATATGGAATCAGGAAGACTGCAGGGTCCTCAAGTGGAAAATGAGGTGTTGTTCTTCCAGTTTGCACTGAGATTCGCTGGAACACAGCAGCAAGCCAGAGGCAGACAGGTTGGCCAGGGTGGTGTCTTACAGTGGCAGGCAACTGGAAGTTCAGGGTCTTTTTTGCAAGCAGAACGTAGATGTTCTGTGAAGTAGTTATCCAGTCTATGCTTCATTTCCCTAATGTAGAAGAGACCACTTTGTGAGCAGCAAATGCAGTAGACTAGATTGTGGGAAGTGCAGGTGAAGTGTTGCTTCACCTGGAAGGTATGTTTGGGCCCTTGGATACTGGGGACGGAGGACGTAAATGGGCAGGTATTACACCTTCGCCCGTTGCAGAGGAAGGTGCTGTGGGGCTGTGTCGGGATGAAGGAAGAGTGGACCAGTGTGCCCTGGAGGGAACAGTCCCTGCAGAAGGTGGACAAGGGAGGCAAGGGAATGTGTGTCTGGTGTACAACAATATGGTTGACACTTAAATGCCCTCTGGGCAATTAGGGTTAGGCAATAAATGCTGCCTAGCCAATGACGCCCTCTTCCTGTTAATGAATAAAGAAATTTTCCGCTTGGGTACCCTGCAGCCCTCCTGACTCAATATAGAGTTCAATAATTTTAGGGCCTAAACTCTCCCATGTCCTTGCCCCCTATCACACACTCCAAGCCTTGTGTTATCACACAGCCTGCCATTACACGCCACCTATTGTTAATCACTAACAGTCCCCATTAACAGCTATTCACCTTCCTAGCCAGATCATTATCAACTCCTTTGTCTATCCAACTGTTCTTCTCTCTCTTTGGGCTCAATCCTGTTATCTTATTGTTTACTACCTACCCCATCCCCCTTGCTACTTTCTGCTTACAAACTGACGTTTTCCTGCTACCATCAGTTCCGAGTATGGGTCACCGGACCCAAAACATTAACTCTGATCTTTTCTTCACAGATGCTGCCAGATCTGCTAAGCAATTCCAGCAACTTCTATTTTTGTGTAAACAGCTATTTGAACAAGCAGGAATTGAAGTGGTTGCAGATGAACTGGAGACAACAGGAAGTGTACAGACATAGCTGGTTGGCACAAGTAGTTTACAGGTCCCTGGACTTGCGACAATTGTTGATGACAAAAGTCTTTGCCTAGCAACAATGGCACGATTGTTTCACAGGCAGCTCAATAGCTTGGGTTCACAAGCTCAGGATTTGCCTGTTTTCTGCAGTCAAAACTTCCTTTAA